TTTTTGCAATTATTGTATTTATTTTCTTTTTAGTGAGATGTTAAAAAAAGAAGAAAGCAGAAAAATATTAACAACAAATGTTATATTCTCTGGATAACAGGAGAGGCCACAAACAGAACACGTACTCCAAGTCACTATGTATGTAAAAAATCCCAAACGTTATTTCATTTCTGCTTTTGCCTGGTGGTGAATAGCCTGATGGAAATTTAGGGGCAGCCACGGAGAGAGGGAATACTTAAAACCAGACAGATAAAACTGATGTGTTTGTGTACTTAGCCAGTTTAAAGACTCAAATAAAAGTTCTATCTTCCTTACAAGAGGGAAGATAATACTGTTGCAAACTACAGGTGACTCGGAAAGACAGGGAAGCTCAAGCAGTAGATGTAAGGAATCCAAAACATGCATGGAAAATGCTGGCAGCAGCAAGAACTAAAATTAAAATTTCAGCGTGTGTGTAGCCACACAAGATCACTGTAGCTTTGCAGAGACTGATTGTGTCAACATTACAGTTCTAAACACTTCTCATTCTGAGGAAGAAACTGCAGATGTTTGCCGCTCAAATTAGAGATTACATCCCTCCCTAATAATGTCTATGTATGTATGTAACCAAGGAAAATGAGAAAAGCAAGCTAAAAAAGCAGCTTAGTCTTTTTTCAGGACTTTTAAATTCAAATAGGAGAGCAGCTATGAAATGTTCTAGTCTTGACATGCACTCTATAGATAAAAGTAATAATGTGAGAAAATTATGTAGGAAGGGAATGGAAAAGGCATTATAATGGAATGTGTTTTGTCTTGACTGCCTTGTACTTTTTGCCCCAAAACCTTGGGAAATTTGATACCTACACATACTAAGTAAGGCATTCTCAAAACGGGCCACAGTTAAATTTTATATGATGTTGACAATAATATGAATATTAATAGTAATAATACAGTTAGTATAATAATTATTAAAAATTGCAATAATATTTGGTATGCTTATAAGGAACATTGCAGATCACTTCAGAAAAGCATTTTCCAGAAAAACTGTAGTTTGAGTTTCCTTCTACCTTTTATTTTTCAGTGTAAACACAGTCAGGGAGGGGTACACCCCAATATGGTGCAGTATCAAATATAAGGAGAAATTTTTATTTCCCATAAAAATGCCAGCTGTCCTTCTTGGAAATTCTTTAATGCCAGATTTCAAAACACAGAAATTTTTACCAGTTTTAAGAATCATTCCCTTTCCCTTCATAGAATTACATAAAGGACAGCTTTTTATATCACAGAGGATGCGAAGTGTTAAAATGTATATATGTTTATATTTGTTTTCTATATCTGTCTGTCTGCAGGTTATATACACATTCCTGAAATGATCCTTCCTTTGGAAATCTTTGATGCTGCCATGTTGGCTGTGATTGATACTTTGTTAATAAACCTCAAACACTTGTCTGTGCTAAACAGCTGGTACAAGACCCCACGGCCTTTCGGAGTGTATCTAATCCTTATTGACACAGGCAGTCCCCTTAAAAATGCACAGTTGAAGACTCCTTGAAAGAAGAGTTTGGAGGAGCAGACATTCCCACTTCTTTATTAACAGATACTCAGATTAATATCAAATAAATTAACGTAAAAGACGGAACAAAAGAGATAGGATAGGATAGGATAGATGCTTATTTGTAGCTCCCATCACCATAGGAGAGAGAACAAAAAGGGCTGCAGTTCTTGTACTTTATCCCAGCTGTATGTGGAGGTTCTGCCACGCAGCCTGGGGCTTGGTGGGGGCTTTGGAGCACTGGGTTTTGGCACTGCCACTACTCTGGGGACACCTTTAGGGGCTGGGGAGAGGCTGTGACATCGGCTCCGAGAAACCAAAACAAGGTGTGCCACCTTCACAGACTTTTCACCTGAAGAAAGAGAGCGAGTTTTCCTTCCCCCATCCCGCTCCCTTTTTTCCTCAGCTCATCACATCTGGGTGGCATCTCTCATGACCCACATTTGTGCCCCTTGTGCTCTCCAGGGAGCAGAAGGAGGAGGATGAGGAAGAATGACAGTGCACTCGCCCATGCTGGAGGTTTTGACTCACCTGCCTCCCCGGGATCGGTCTGATGATGGCAGGAGCTGGAGCTAGACAATCCAAACATTCTCTTCTCCCACATAGCCATGGTTTTCCTCTGGGGAAGGTCTGCAAACATGGGGCACCCAGCTGGGGGCCCGCTGCTCGCGTTGGGTTTTTTTGATTCTTAAAAAAAAAAAATAAAAAGACCAAAAACTCCCCTTCTCCAAAACCACCCCTCCCAAAAGAAAAAGAAAATTGCTTCAGGAAGGGCAGACTTCAGTTACTGAACACTTATGGAATTCAGCCCTAGTGAGACCACATCTGGAGGGCCATGTCCGGTTCTGGGCTCCTTAGGACAAGGCAGAGAAGGAGCTACTGGAGGGGATCCAGCGAAGGGGCACAAAGATTATGAAGGTCTGGGGCATCTCTCTTATCGAGAGACTGTGGGAGCTGGGCCTGTTCAGTCTGGAGAAGATGGAAGGGGATCTCATTAATGCACATAAATATCACAAAGGTGGGTGTCCAGAGGATAGTGCCAGACATTTTTCAGAGGTGCCCAGCGACAGCTACAGGAATAATGACCATAAGTTAAAACACAAGAAGTTCCACCTCAGCATGAGGAAGAACTTTATACCGAGAGTGGTAGAGCACTGGAACAAGCTGCCCAGGAATGACTCCCGCCCTCTGGAGACATTCCAGACCCACCTGGACGTGCCACCTGCTCCAGATGACCTTGCCTTGGCAGGGGGAATGGATCAGATGATTTCCAGAGGCCGCTTCCCTACCAACTCTGTGAACACTGCGATAGTCTGGGACAAGTCATTGCGCACAGCCTCGAGGCCGGCCGGGCCCACGCAGGCGCTGCATGCCCACAGGTGAGCAGGGTCCGGGGGGATGAGGGGGATGAGGGCGCGGCTCCCGCTCACCTGCGCTCACCTGCCCTCACCTGGGCGTGCGCAGCG